GATTCTCAAGAAAATGTCTAGTTTTCGGTACAATTTGTCAGATCCTGGCTGACAAGTTAGGTATGAACCTATCTGTTTCTTGACCATTCACTTAAGAGTTGGACCCGACAATCCTTGTGGGTCCATTCAAGCTCAGAATATTCTGTGATTCTGTGATTGACTGTACTGGTGTTGTTAAGATTGGTACTGATGTTCACAAATGAAAACACTGAAGAGGTAGCTTTTCTGCTGCATCCTAAACAATTTGTGGATGTAACATCAGGCTTATCAAACAGAGGTAACATATCACAATAAGCAATAAATTTGTATTCTCTTGGGGAACCATTTTGTCATTTTGTCCACATTGGAAGTTGGGGCTAGGATTTGGATTAGAATTTTTCTGAACCTGCTAGGTTACAGACATACATGTACCCTTTGACTAGGATGTTTACCTTATGACTGACCCAAGACCCTTTGAAGTGTCTTGGATACTGAGAAAAATAGCACTAGAACTGTCATCTAATTATACATCAAATATAGACATAACACATAAGTCACATAAAACTTAGGGAGGAACATCTGGATTTCTGGTCCTGTTCAATATAAGGCCAACCTTAAAGTGAGACCAGGTTGTTCAAAGCAATTATTTAACGGAGTTTGGGGTACTACCAAGGACAGAAACACACAAGAATGGAGATACACCAAACATCAAAAAGAAGCACAAGAAATGCTGAGGGTTGTTTTTTGTTTGCGTTATGCCACAGCAACCCAGGACACCTGCCTTATGAAAAAAGAAACACCCCTACCTATCGGTTGAGCGCATGTAAGCATTTGAGAAAGCAGAGAAGAGGTAAGTACCAGAAAGAGATAACAAGCATCTGTCACTAGTAATGCTTGAGAAACAAGGAAGCAAGGTTTCAGAATGTGCATTCTTTTTGGCAGCCAGTGTAATTCATTCACAGAATCTGAAAGACACTATGCTTGGGAACTATGTCAGAACCATAGGATCACAAGCAATAGCTCACCTCTAGCTGGTAAAAAATGCTCACTGTCAACCAAAGGCTAATTTTACCCAACTTTGCTTCTGAAAAGATCTGACCACATTAATTCAAAACCTTGCATTAATTTCTCAAACCCTGCAGAGCATGAAGGAGCTATCTTTAGTTTTAGTCAGGTATTACACAGAAGAAATAGATTTCTTTCATTCCAATAATGAGTTATTATTCCTAAGAGTTAAAAAACCCCACCAAAACCCCAACACTGCTTAAGTTCGCTACTTAATCAGACCAGAAATACAATTTTCTCCAGCATTTGCATAGCTTAAGGACATTCATTTGTGCTGCCATTTGCAGAAAGCTAATTCAAAACACTTTGACAGACGCCCTCCTGACTCCAGCAGAGCTCGTCACCCTGTGACTTTTTTCTTCCGCAAGAAACTTCCGTTAGGGTGAACTCGAGAGAACTATCATGGACTTCTGACACTTTTTTCCCAATGGACCATAAGGTATTCCCTAGGCAGTTGCAGTTTCTAATGCTTTTCACATTATTTTCTTAAATTGTTTATTTATTTATTTATTTATTAATTCAATTCCAACCAAAGGTTTTCGTAAACAACTCGTGACACATGAGAGGCAACCACCACTGCGAACAGACCCGGAACACAGAAGGCGGGGTACCCCTCAGCCAAGCACCGAGATTTCGCTGTGCTAAACACAACAAAACAACTTTTAACACCCCTCAGCCGCCCCGCCTCCGCCGCGGGGAGCGCCGCCCTCCGCGGCCTCAGGGGGCGCCGCCGCCGCCGCGCCCGCTCCTCCTCGCCCCTCTTCCCTACGCGCCTGCGCCGTTTCCTTGGAAGCCGGGGTTGTTTTGGGCAGAACCACCGGCGCGGCTCCGCGGAGGGGGGAGCGGGAAGGCGGGGCATCTGCAGCCGCCGCCCCGGGAACGTACGGGTCCGACGTGAGTGATGCCCGCGGGGGCAGCGGGGCCGCACCCCAGGCAGGGGAGGCTGCGAGCGGCGGGGGTCCCGCCGGGCTTGTGCCGCTGCTCTCCGCGGTGCGCGGCCCCCAGGGCGGGTGGGGCTGGGTCCCGCCTCCCCGCCGCTGTGCCCTTCCCCGCCTCCCCTGCCCGCCCCGGGGCCGGGGGCGCAGCCACTGGCGCGCCGGGGCCGCGCCGTGGCGGGGCGATTGGCGCGGGCGGGGAGCAGGAGCCGGGAGCGGGCTGGGCGGCGGCCAGCGCGGGCCGGGAGCGCGGGGATGCGGGGGCGGCCTCGGCGCGCTCCGGGAAGCAGCGGGAGCGGGTCCCGCTCGTTCGAACGCCGTGGTTGCTCGGGGTAACCCCGCGGGGTGACTGTCGGGGCAGGCGACCTAGGGAGACCTGCCGGTCTCGGCGCGGCGCGGTGGCACGAAGCGGTGCCGCGGGAAGCCGTAATCCCTTGAGCAGTATTATTCCTCCCCCCCGTGTTCACAAGCTTTGTAGTTCACTCAGGTAGCATTGCGTGGTTAGTTTATATATACCCCGTGGCACGCGAACACACGGTGCTGCTCCGTGCCTGACACGTTGATCTCCAAAGCTGGGGTGCCTCCCTCCCGTGAGGAATGTGCATCCTCCCGTCACGTGCTCATTAAATAATTCCATTGGTTAGTCCAGTTGTGGTGTGTGCTGTGATTGTTCATTTTTTATTTGTTTTATCTACCACTGTTCTTCTAGGCAAAAAAAAAAGTATACCTCACTGGAAATTAAAATACCTGGTGAAAAAGCATTTTCATAATTGTCGGATAAGACAGAGACTTCAATAAACAGCAGAAGTCAGCTATATTTCCTTATGCAGAACTGAAGTCCATCAGGGCAAAGAGAGTCTGCAACTTTCTCTTGACTAAAGCTGCCAAATTTCTGGGGGAAAAAACGCCTACCCAGGAGTTCCTCTGAAGCTAAAACTTTCTGATAGTACTTGAAAACTGGGAGTAGCACCAGCTTTTTAAAACGTCTTTTTTAATTAGTATGAACACAAGGTTTTTACAGGCACATCTAAACTGGTAGAAGGCTACTACATTTTTAGTTGTGTCCATTTGATATGCAAGTACATAGGTGTTTACCTGGTAATAATAAAGCTGTCTGTCAGTTTTCTGGAGGTAAATAGTAAATTTTCTTTAATAAAACCAGATTGGTTTTTGATGCCAAAATTTTTTTTTATGCAATTGTGAAGAGAAACAGATTCAGCTCGGTGTTATTTTGCTCTATAATTCTGAGTTGAAGTTCTTTCAAAGTAGTGATACCTACAGATAGCTGAATTAGAAACCTACCAGTAAAACCTAAGATTTCCCATTATGATCTAAAAGATAAGTAAATGAGGCCTGCTGTTCTACTTGCTTTCAGCCACTGAAGTTTACACTCACTTTTTGTAACAAAAGAAAAGTTGAGGATTTTAGTTTAGGAAAATCCTGAGATGTGCAATAATGTTTTGTTGGCTCAGTTTCCTAAATGGTCCTAATTGGGTAGGAAATTTGTCACTTTGCATTATGTAGTACAGATTTTGTACGTTCTGCTCATTATAGTATAAGTTTGATTTATATCTTATTTTAGTGACCAATAACAGTAGGTTTTGTGAACAGTGGCCTTTGTGGCATGTTTAGCACAGAGAATTTCTATATTACAGATGGAGAATATAGGAACTCAGTATTTCAAAATATTGGGAAAAGAGCAAGAATTTAATGTACAATCACTTTTATAAATACATTTAATATTAGATATTAATATATGTATATAATATGTGTATATATATACACACATATATATATAATATATGTACATGTATATTAGAGAAGAGCAAACTAGGTGATTTTTGGGAAAGTATATAGTAATTCCTGAAAGTTTGGCCTTCATTAATTTGTTTCTGTGGTTATTCCTAGTGGCTGGAATGTATTTTTGTCATTCCTGAATTGTCTTATATTGTCTAACATGGAAGAGATTCAATCTGATTAGGCAAAAATGCATTTTACAAAATTGATGTTAATAGTTTATTCAGATTGGGGGACTGTGGTTGCTGAACTTGGATGTACCATTAAATCTCTCCTATTTCAAGGTGAGATTACACTAGTCAACAGCCTTGATCTTATTCCTGTTGCTTAATGATCTATATTTACACAAGTCTAATAGTTGCTTTAATGCACTGTGTCGAAAGTCATGAAATTCTAAATTGGAAATGTGTATTAAATAATAGCACTATCAAGAGGACTTTATCTCTTAATTTTATTGCCACAAGAGGATAGATAATTGCTGAATAAATAGACAGAATGATGGTAGCTGTGAGGTGAGCCTGGCCTTTGGAAAGGTGTTTGTTTCATTATAAGCAAATGTGTCTGCAAAATTAATTTACCTACAGGTTGGCTGTTTTGGTTTTTTTTTTGGTAACTGATTTATTTAACCTTTCACCATACTTGGATCAGGTATGCACTTTACTCATTTTGTTTTTGTGTTCTATATTGTCTCTCATATATTTTTGTTTTAAATTTAAGAGTCCTTCAGCGTTTCATTTGTTTGTAATTAGTTTTCAAGGGCTGATTTAAATCGCTTAACGAACTGTAAGAGACTTTTCCATGTTCCTGTGGTCCTCAGTGAATGATTAAAGTGATAGAATCTGCTGTATTTTATAAACATGTCTAGTGTTCTACTCTTCTGAATTATAGATTTTCTAGCCAATTGTGAATTGACTGCTTGAAAAGCAGCACTTAATAACTGTAGTACTTTTAAAATACCCATTTGGTGTAACTAAGTATAAATTGCAAAAGCAGTTTTATTTTCCAGTGGTGTTTTCTGATACCATTTCTTGTAATAAGTGTTGCTTTTAATTGTTACTGGTTTAGTTGTGACAGTAAAGCTTTGCTTTGCGAGTCAGAACGTGTCAGTTAGTGAAAATATTGCAACCTCATCAGTGTTATGGTGAAGCATATAACAGAACTAAACTTTTTTTTGCTTCCAATAAAGTCCCTTCTGGCCATCCTTGCTCATATCAAACGTCCTTAGACTGTTGGATACTTAGTGTAAATGCTTTGTTGAAGTAAACTAATGACACCTGGCAACTGACTAATCAGCACTTCTATAATCCCAAACCAACCTGAACACTTTTTGCCTTTTTTTATTTTTTTTTTTTAATTTGGTTTGGCTATCCAGCAGGCCACAGTGCTCTACGTAATAAGTGTGGAATGATCTGAAGGTGTGTAGCCTGTGCAAGTAACACTGTGAAAGAAAGATGAGAGGGATCTGATGGTACAGTTGTGTAAATTCTTGGGGACCCAATATAGCCTCATACCTTCCCTTGGCTGGCAAGATGTGTGTGCCCAGGAGCGATTGTCAGTGTTGAGGCCCTGTGGTATGTTTGGTTCACTTTACTGCTATTGAGCTCTCTCAAGTCTGAGTGGCTGCATGCAAACTGCCTATTAATAATAATCCAGAATAACTCCTAAACCGTGTATGGGTGTTAGGTGGCTTGGACCAGAATGGTGCAAGAGTAGTGCAACCATATGGCCTGGCAGTATTTAATGCTGTGTCTTAATTTTTTAGGGTTGCTGTAGTCTGGGTGTCCAGTCAATGAGAGTTACTGGTGTCTAACAGGACATGTTGCCTTGGGAGAACTTGGAGCTGTTGTCGGATGGGCTGTCAGGGAGATAGGTACGATAGTTCGTTGTTTAGAAGGCTAAGGGGAACATAACACTTTCATAGAAATCTACTTTTCATTAGTTCTGCTGTTTACAAAACAGCTTTTTATATTAAAGTTTTTTGTAAAACATTCTGAATTTTCTTGATGAAAAGATAAAGCTGGGTAATATTTTTTCTTTGCCTTCAAGCTTTTTTTGGATTGCATTTGTAGGCTTTTCTCCACAACTGGTAGGGCCTAACATTTTTCTCTTTAGAGAAATGAGTTTCATGTAATTGCTTGTCTGCTTTATAAAAAATACAAATGCTTTGTGTAAACATAAACATTTAGAGATTTGTAATAAAGTTAGATTTGCTGGCAGATACTAGTTTTTGTTTTGGAAGGTATCAGCTGACTACAATGTGACTTCCTCGATGCTGTCAGGATAGGAACCCGATTAGAAAGGCTTCAATATATATGGCTTTGTGGGTCATTGTTATTTAAATAAACTCTTGAGGTTTTTAGCAGATTGGAGGACTACAGTGCTGAATTATTTGGCTATTGCCAATTGTAGTGTTGTTATTTATTTACTCTCAAATAATAAGTATCAGATAGATGCTGAGAATCCTGAGCTGGGATTTGATGGCAGAAAGCTTTTAATATTTTAGACAAATAGGGAAATATTTATTTCCAGACTAAAACACCTGTACTCAGTATTAATCAGCACACATTCAATTGTTAGCTTCAAGTCTGTGGACCAGTTATGTTAATGAAAATTGTTAATTACTTTAAATAGAACTGTAAATTCTGAGGAAGAGGCAGCTGGTGTGTTGAGCCACTTCTAACTGAGGACTGAAAATGCCAGCAGGTAAGAATACTTTGTTTTTGATTTCCAGTACATATTTTGTCTCATATAAATCTTTAATGTTGCATTGGCTTCTTTTTGAATGCATGATTATAGTTGCTTTTTGAAGTGTTTTGGTTTTTTTATTTTAAACTTAGGGACTTTTGTAAAAATTGTAATGGCAATGGTAAATATGCTGCTGTAGCTGAGGATTCAACAGCCTTTTTCTTAACTGAATACAAGCAAATTTGTTGGTAAACTTTCCCTGATAAATAATTTTCATCTTTTGCAATTTTAAATCATGATTATGCACTTTTTTAGCAATGGTGATTATTGAGATAGTAAATAATACTGTAGACTTCTTTTTGCAGTTGAAAGTGAGGCAAAGGCAAAAACCAAAGTTCGCTTTGAGGAAATCTTCAGACGCCATGCAGGCCTAACAGACGCAAAGAAATCAAAGAAAAAGAAGTTTGACTCTCCAGAGAGTATTGTGGTGAGTTAGAACACATGCAAGTTTTGTTTGATTGCCTTCCATCATAGAAAAAAGATCAGGAAAATGAACTTTAGAAAGGAGCTTCAAACATTTAAAAAAAAAAATAAGTGTAAATGATGTTTCTGCATGTACCCCTTGTTTTTGATGTGGCTCTTATTTGTTGTTTGTGTACCAGGAATGCATCCTTGTAATTTGGAGGTATAGACTATAATACTGGTGAAAGAAAAGGGGCACATGCAGGTATGCATTTACGTAATGCCCTCCAGTACTTTGTTTTCCATTACTTTTTCATAAATTCTTAAGATTTTAAAATTCAGTATTGACTTTACTTGGAGAAAATTAGATGTTTGAGGGATAGCAGAATTATGGCTTTAAAAGTATTTGATTTTGAAAGTAATAATAATTTGTGGAATAATACCGGTATGTCTCCATCTAATACAGCTGTGAATTGAGAACTGATGAGAAATTGTAATAATGTTAGAGATAATAATTTTTATTCAATTTTCTGCTTTTTTCTTTTGAATTTGATGTCAGCGATCAGAATATTTCTGCATATGCTGAGCTTTGTATCTGAGTAGTCCTGTGTTCACGTGTCAACTTTTTTTAAAGATTTTGACCTCAGCTTGTGACTTGCATATTAGGAAGGGTTCTACCACCCTGACTTTATGGTTAAATGACATTTTTGTTTGTGGCATATCTGTCATTCACATAGCCTCAGAAATTCCTCTGAGTTACGGTTCAGATTCTAGTCTTTTTCCTGACCAGGAGAATAAGTGTCTAATGTAAGTCCTACATATACTTAATTATTGACTCAGAAGATTTGTAGTTTGAAAAGAAAGCAATTTGCTTAAAAGACAAATGTTCTGTTTTTCTGTTTTCCTGTTTTCCTCCTGTTAGGTTTTATGTTTTCAGTATTTTTTCTTGTATTTAGTCAATAGTTTATACAAAGAATCAACTTGATGTCTAAAATATACTGTAGAGAGTTTGAGGGTGGGTTTTTTTCCTTTTTTATGGGCATTTGTGTAAATACAAGACTAAATTCTTCCTCAATTAGGTAAACCTTTTCTATGAAATGTGAATTTCTAATTCTGTTATTTAGAAGTATTTTTAAGTACATAATTATATGTTCATATGCAAATAGATATTACTCATAAATATTTTACGCTTACTTTGGTTTTAAATTTGGTTTCCATTCCAGAAGTCTCTGATGTAAAACACTAGTGCTTTGGAGTTGCCTAGAAATACTTTAAATCACAATGATCTGAATCAAAAGTTAGTGGTATGCAAGCAAATTAAGAAGCATTTTTAGGATCAGTGTGGAAACCCAACTTTAGGGCTTTGCTGAAACTAGATTTTTACAAATCAAAGCAATTAAAAACTAAGAACTTGAGGAGAACATATATTGAAACCTATTACAGACCATTTGGAGTATTTCCTTGAAGTGTGGCAAAGTTGCAAGAGCTCAGGCTGGTATTTTCCATGCTGGTTGCTTTCAAATAGAAGTTTCTGTAAAAGCTTCAGCACATAAACAGTCATTTCTCTGTAAGAAATAAGTGTGTGTGGGAGTGGAGGAGGAGGTAGATAGAGGAGGTTGGCTGGTTTTGTTCCCGTTTTCTTCAGTTCATATGATTTAACTATATAGAGTTTCACATATCTTGAAATAATGTGAAATTTGTCAGTGATGGTTGGCTTTGTGTCACGCACTTGCCATAGATGGTCTCCCAGGTTTGATCAGAAATGGGTCATAGTTGAGAGCATATTACAACTGGAAATGTACAAGTCTGCTTCCTTCCTGTGTCTTTGCTCTAGCCTTTCTTAGATTAATAAAACCTTTTCCCTAATAGTCCACTGTTTCTTTGAAATCTGAGCTTTGGAGCTGCAGGAGGTTGCTATAGTTTTAAATGACAGAAAATGAGGATAAGGAGATTGCCTGCCTGCTTGCCTGTACTGCTCTATGTGCCCATTGCCTGGAGACAACCCTGCCTGGAGAGGAGGGAAGCAGCCTGGCTGGAAGAGGAAAGGTTGATGTCTGTAGAGCTGGATGAGTTTGAAGTCACAGCTAATAGGAATGAGGGGCTTGTCATGCAGATGGAAATAGACAGCAGCTGTGGCCAGTGAAAGTTCTGCTTTGCTGTTCAGTAGCCACAGAGGCAGTGGTGTGAAGCCTAAAGGCATGGCTGAAGACATAAGCAATTGAGACACACTCAGAAAGTGAATTTGCTGGTATCTTTTCTAGGGCAAAGAGTCACGATTATTTTTTTTTTTTTTTTACCATTTGTTCCTCCTCCTACGAGTTGTTAGGATTGAGGCAAGCCTCAGTTCAGGCAATATGCAGATTATTTTGCCCAGCTATTTTAGTCTGTCTAAGGTCAGCAGGAAAATTAAGTTTATTTGTTTCAATCTAAATTTTATGATAGAAAAAAGCATATTTAACTCTGAAAATGTCAGTGAATTTTTCTACCAGATGAAAAGCAAGATCTCATAATGGAGGCAAGAATTTCTGTTTCTTGTGTCTAAAATAACAGAACTGCTAATAGTTGACTGTATAATA